CCGGCTAAAGGCCAACTTCTTTCCATGTCTCGTTTGGCTCCGCCCGAATTACCTTCGATGTCCATGACGTGTAGTTTTTGGACGTTTGTTTCTCTTCGGAAACCGAATCTTCATTCGTGAAACTTTGCGTACTGTTTCCAGTGATCACAGCTGACATATCCATGTCAAGAAAGAATGCAAGAATTTCCTGCGAAGGATTCCTTTAACACGTCGACGACAGCGTGACGCGGTAACGCGTCCTACTTTGCGCACCTCGTGGGACATTGTGACGCGGTAACGCGTCCCACCCAAGTCATCCCTTTTTCTTGCGCTTGTGCTACTTAGTTCTAGAGTCTTTGTACTCATTCTATAGGTCATACATTAGCATACTTAAAGACCACATGGCTCACAGAAAGGCCAAATATTCCTTAGTTCGGCAGACGTCTTCCAGACCTTACCGATATGTCTGTTCAATTCGTTCCTCGTTTTCTTTTCAATAACGTAATCATGCCGATAAAAAGGAATAACAGAAGTGATTACAAACCTATTCGTGGGGGATGAGATGTGTTTTTACTGAAACAACCACGTCCGAGTTAATTTTGAAACCACTAAGGAAAATTAAGTAAAATTTCCCTTTTGATGGCCTTATCACGTCGTTTGGGCATACTTCCATTACTGTAACTCCTGATGAGCTAGTCTGATCGAACGTCATTGAAAACAATTCACAGCATCTAAGTATTGCGGATACAACTTAAAACCCAGGATTTAGTGTGCGGCGGCTGCGCTCGCAAAGTCGTTATTGTCCCACGGGGTGCAAAAGCACAAAACGCGCGATGTCGTCAACGTGTTAAGATTTCTGTGATCTGTTGCGCCACTGATCGCGGGCTCTGACACCAGTCTTACCGGATAACTTACAAAATAGTACCGATTCACGGCCTGAATGCGACCGGTAAAAGCCGGAAACAGAACTACACAACAATTGTCAAACAATTATCAAAGGCTGTCTCAAGCGCTCTGGACCTCTCATATCGGTGTACAATCAGATCTACCTCCCGTCGTTCCAAATTCACTGAAGGAGTCGTATTCGGGATTCTCAAAGGGGTGGACTGCTAAATTCGAGATTTCCGGAAGGGAACGTGGTACGAAAGTTGGGGCTTCATTGCAGTGCAGAAAGGAAAAGGGAGGCTTACGGGATTTAGACTGGGCAAGTTTGATTAAAAGTCTTGAAGTGATAGGAGTTGAGTGTTTGCCGTTCCTTTGGGCACATTTACTTCCTTCCCTTTGACTCACGCTTGACCAAAGCCGATGTTGGTGGTGCCGGTATTGTTGAGGCCCACTTAAAAGGGGTGGGGTGGTCGTGATTATTTTTGAAATGAACAACGGAGGTGAAATGAAATATGTATTTGTGGCTGGGTACAAACCTGATGTTTTATGGTCCGTTTCCATGGCGAAATGAAATACCAGCACCTCAGAAAAAAAGCAGAACTATTCTGTTGGGTTGTCCAGAAAATCCTGCGACACTTTGTCCAAGATTTTTGAGTTGAACGAAATGTACAATCAGCTGGATTATCACCGTTACAATATAGGAGACGAACACTTTTTCCGGGCCGCTTCCCAACTCTCTTACTTTATGTCCGGTGTTTGCTGTTAAAAGAAACGATCGATCCCATTTTCGAGATGGCATCAGTCATCGGATTTTTTTTACCTTCCAAATGGATAATTATAAATGGGCAAGCCCGGCGAGTAAGCCAAGTACTGCGAAATTTCTCAATTAAAATTCATATCTTCTGATATGTAATCCTTTGTCGCATGTAGATATGCGTGGGGGGATAACACAATCTTGCGCACTTGTGTGTGAAGTTTACGCATGGCTTCGACCAAACTTCAGAAGTAGTAGGGCCGAGAATGGTCATCACCGCGGTGCAGGTGTCCAGCAGCTTTCAGTGAACGGTCAAATTGCGACCCCATCAAAACACTAAGAACTCTTCTCTACGAAAGTTCTGTAGGCAGCTCTACTCTCAGTCGAATAAAATAGGGCTTATATGTACATACAGCTTACTCAACGTGAGCTATCTTAACTAATCTTCATTTTTGTCAAGAGATTCCTTAGGTGCGATAAAAAAAAAAGAATAATTTCAATCATGGTCGCAGACTTCGCCTCCCCAGCAGGGTCAATCCTATCGTTGTTACTCTTTGGACATTTTTTACGACCCTCTCCCCTTTATGGGTGATTTGATACGATTCCCCTTGTATGTGACACTTGTGTAGAGACAGTGTTTACCATCAATATTTATTTCTATGTAGGTCACCAAAGATGAAACGTTAGCAAAATCCACGACAGATATTCATCGCTGCTTTCAAACACGAAAAATGAGATGCATTCAAAGATATCCGTGTACTCCAAAAGGCTACCAAACTAGGAGATGAAATAGACTGAAACAGTGACCGGAATATTGACGGTATTACCTGATAAAAACTTATGAGAAGTCAGAAAAAAAATTATCGCTCCAATTGAAATACTGAGATCCTTCACGTTCTTCACTTGCAACACAATTTTTACACCCCCCCCCTTTCTAAGGCTATAACTTCCTTCATATTCGAGCTTCTGCGCCGAAGTAATTTGATTTGGAAAACTCAAATTATTCTCTCTCCAACCGTGGGTTAAGAATCTTCGAAAGTTAATTTAATAAAAATTTAGTACGTTGTTACTTTTTTCTGTGCAAAGGCGACTTTTTGACCTTCACACGATCATAACTTCCTTAAAAGTCATTCATTTGGGAAGCTGAACACGTATAATAAACAACAGGATTCAAGCTTTTGAAGGAGCACCCAAGCGTTACTGAAAGATCAGCATTTCAAAAATTAGTCCCGTTGTTACTTTTTATTTTGAGGGGTATTTTCCAAGCCATTTTCTCGAAAACGTGAGTTTTCTTAGGATTCACTGTAACTTCTTGGGAGACCAATTTTATGTTCAATTTAGGATGTGCTAGAGAGCTCCGAGCATGCGCTTGCACTACATCCCTTGCCTTGGTGCGCGCCACGCCTCGGGCGCCCTTCTAATTCGCTGATTCATTCGAAAGCTCATTTAGAGGGAAGCGTTGTTTATAGATGCTCTAGTACCAGTCATCTTACGAAAACGTAACGTGCTGGCTATTATCCGGTATTACCAAGAATTCCACTGTGACTACGACCACTCCCCCCCCCCCGTTGTTACTCGTAACAACGTAGGGCTGACCGTGCTCCCCAGCCTGGCGCAACCCATGTGGTGCTCATTTTAAAACATGCTGCCTGTAACTAGAAACGTAGGAATCCTCGACAGGATGTCAGCTAGTGCAGCTCAGCGTTATTGCTAGCTTACGACTGGTAGCAATTGGCTGCGCCTCTGGGAAGTTGAGCAAATGCTCACCGTTCACCTTCTACGGATGATCAGAGCACTGCTTTACTTTGAGTCAATCATCTCCGGATGCGAAGCCTCAGGAGCAACGGTACCCTGTGGCCTGCTGAATGAGTCACCTTCTGAATACAGCACAGACGCTATCTGCAAAGCATGCAAGCAGAGTGGCTTCAAAGGAACTAGAAATAAAGTGTCAAAAGATGGCTCACTTCAGAGAAAATTTTGGAGCTGTAAAACGTCACACGAAGCCTTCATGTACGCTTTTGCTGGAACCTTCACAGACACCCTACAGTAATCAAATGCCGAAATACCTGAAAACGGTTTTGATTTATTCCTAAGGTTATTTGATCAAAGTGTCGCAGGATTTTCTAGACCCAATACATTAACAGAAACATTTCGCGAAAATTGAATGGCTCTAGAGTAAGTTGTTCTGTAGCTTACCTTCACGGAACGCATTACCACCAATTTTGGGTGCCCAACGGATCTCAAAGGTGCAGATTACTGGAAATCAGTATTCATACTCAATACTCATCAATTTGGTAATGTAGTTGATAGTCTTGGATCCCGTTTAGCCTTTGAAGGTTGCGATAAGGTTTGACGAGGAACTTTCAAAGCTTCTTCTTTTTGAGCTCTCTGGAAGGTTAATGCCGAATTATAACCCGGTCAGATGGTGTTCAGTTGCTATCAATCTTAATTACAAGCTCAATTATCTTGCTTAAATGCCATTTTTTAAGGAAAAAAAATAGTTCGTAGTCGCTGAAAAAGCTTTGGTTTTGTAAGAACCCAGAATTCTTTAACTTTCTTCGAAGCCTGAGTCAATATTATGACAAATTATTAGATTCTGTAGGCTCCTACTCAAAAACTAAAATGTTGCTGTAGATTCCTTCAGGGCTTGCGCCAGGTGATGTAGCCAAACCAACAGCAGCTGCCAGTTAATAGTGTTTACGTATACTTTAATGGTAATCTTTTGATTTGTCACGTAACGGTTTCCATTTAAATAAGCATTTGCCACAGTGAAATTATAGTTGCAAAAGAGGCAATACATGACTTGCCGGCAAAGCACCGGAAGCTTGTCGCCCATGTATCAAAAACTAGTATTGCAAAAACTGGTGTACTCCATCGAATGATTACACGATTTATTTGCTAAAAAGGGCGCAATCAAACAGAGTCCTATTACGCAGGGCGAATCCTTTTTTGGATACACACGGAAAATGGGGGCTAGTTCAGGAAAATAACACTGCTATCGATAGACGATCAACACTCTCGTGACTCTCGCTTTCAGAAAAAAATATGCTGATAGAACAGGTTTTGAGGTGGGACCTCTATGGGAGAGCAGCACAGGGGAATGGATTTCCGCCCTCTGAATATTTTTTCTTTTTTCTACGCTCATTTTTCTAAGCTCATTCCAATTTACTATAAACTTTGTTGTACTCCTGAATTCAGAATACATATTCACCTAAGGCAAAAAAGTGAACAAAATTAATGAATAATTGCTGGAGCTCCTGTGTCCAGCCGGGTCTGTCGGGTCCAGCTGGTTATTGGGTATCTTAGCATTAGCTTTTCTATTACCAGTGCTAGAATTATCTTGCCAGATTCTTTCGATTTTTTGAAGACTCCTCATGTCCTCCTTTCACTAACTCATAGCACATAAATGTGAGCAAATCTTTCCTTACCTTTAACTCAGATTTTTGTTTTTCCTTTGGTCAGCTGGTATCACGGCACTACACATCAAATGAGCTTTAGCCGATCTAATAAATATATGAATCAATATATATATATATAAATTCTGTCTGCTTTTTGAGAATTCCTTTGACTTTGTGAGTCTGTGAGTTTTGGCTCAAGTTTGTTGTACCATCGACAGTGATGCTCAATGCCAACGCCCATATTTTAGCGACCGCTGACAGATTCGCTTTACTACTGTGTACTTATGAAGTCCGTGCAGCCTGAACAGCTGATTAGTTACCTTGTGAGAATAATGACCGCAATACATGAGTTTGGCCTGCCTCGTCACGAGAGGGCAATCAACTCAGCAACTGAATGTCCACACACTCGTTACCATAGAGATGCCTTTGGTCAGGCCCTGACAGCCGGAGGGGTCCGGCCGATCTCTCCACGGAGCCTTTTACCGCTTCGATAGCATTACGGATCCCGCTAATACGGCTTATACGCGCTTACTGGTTCTCAATTGCCCGTTGTAACGCTTTTCTTCTTGCCGATTATCAGCTTTTCTAATAAGGTTTGATGTTAACCTCTCTTCGACTACCTTGACAAGATTTCATTCTGTGCTTGATTGAACTATGAATCTGTTCTGAGCCACCTCGTTATCTCTCCATGTTAAGTGCTCTAGATATCCATAACCATTCTTTTCAGTGAGGTACAACTTTAAACAACCATCGTAGCGAAAATTTGCATACAACTGATCCCGTTTCGTGAAATTTGCTGTTACAATTACTTCTAATAATCCGACTTCGAGAAAACTGAGGCAACGACTTTTTATTACCTAACGTTTTCCAAGAACGGAAAGCGCTTTTCCGTGAAGCAAAGTGAATACGTTTCGAGCGTCAAATAATTAGTTTATCATCACCCAACATTTGCCGAAGAGAAAACATAAGATGAAACAAACATTCAAACTGAACTGCAATCTGTAATATATTATTATATGCCCGAAGCAGAATAAGATTTTCGATAAAAAAGCAAGATAGAAAGGGGTTGTAATTGGTTCAGCTCGTGGGGGGGGAGTAGTACTCGCAGTGGTCGGCAATGGGAGAAAAGCCCTCTACCCCGCACAGACGCAGCCATGAAGAGGAAGAATTGCAGAAACAGCAGCAGCAAAAATGGAGCTTTGAACAGAGTGCTCGCACCATGACATGGACCTAGCTAGAGAAAGCAAGCAGGGATATCATGCAAGCGCATGCTCGAAGCTTTCTGACACACTCTATGCTCTGTTTCGACCAGAGAAACCTGAAAATCGCACTTTGAAGAAAATGGCTTGAAGAACGCCCTTG